AAAAATTGAGGACAAAAAATCAAACTTCTGCAAACGATCAACATGAAACTTTCAGAATCTTATTTTTTCTCCAAAAAATGAAACCACAGAAAGTTTGAAGCCAATCAGAATCGATTAACGGGTATCTCCCATACAAAATTGTCCAAAAATCGATAATTTTAGTCGAAATTTCAAAAAATTTGTATGGGAGGTACCCGTTAATCGTATCCGATTGGTTTCAAACTTTCAGAATCTTATTTTTCTTCCGAAAAATGAAATTCCAGAAAGTTTGAAGCCAATCGAAGTCGATTTACGGGTACATCCCATACAAAAGTGTCAATTTTTTGAGGTTTTTCTTAGGGCAAGTACCCCAGGATCAAATCGAAAATGGCTCATCTTCGAACTTAAACTAAGTTTTTCGGATACAAAACTTTTGGCATTTCCAGATTTTGATTATCCCAATTATTTTTTAACAAACAGCTACGACGACGACGACAACGACAATGAGGACGGCACACGAACGGAAAAGTGTCTCAAAAAGTGGTTTTCTACGCGTTTCATGAGTTTTTATGATGATTAGACTGGCCCAAAAAAAAAGTTGTCCACAAAAAAAAAGTGCCGACCGGATTCGAAAAATATACCTCAAAAAAATAGGTGTTGTCCAAAAAAATCATATAGTCACCATATAAAATACCCTGCCAGTTTTTATATCAAAATTTTCATGACAGCGATTTCGGAAGCCATTTAGATCGCAACATTTCGACCTAAATCATTTTTCCAGCCAATTCTCGGCAAAAACTGATGATGAGGTTTTGTTTGGCTCGTCAATATCTATAACTTTTATCAAGACATCAGGCCTTGAAAAGGCATTCTGGGCCAAATACAGTGTAAAATGACCAAAAAAAAAGGCAAATTTTCGGCATTTTTTGCATTTTTCGCTCTACTGGTCACCCAGGCGGTGGACTTCTGTTCAGTTTTTGACTTGTGTCGTGTAACCAAAACCTGTACAAACATTTTGGTACTTGTCAGATTGCGATTTGGATGAAATTCGGTGTCAATTGATTCACATATAAAAGACAAATTTCAGGTCAAAATGAGCAAATCACAAACATGAGCTTCCGTTTGACAGGTAAAAGCAAATGATTTCTACCTTTTCTGCCTTTGAACATCTAGTATGGTCCTTTACGAACATTTTGGGTACTTACATGACCAAATCGAGTGATGTTTTCACATATTTCTAGCCTCATTTTCAATTTAAACTCCAAAAAAATCGACTTTTGGCCAAAAATCCTTAAATAAAGGCTTTTCGGGGATGATATCTTGGCGCAAAGTTATTTTGTCTCGAAAATATGGAGAGTCTACTCAGACAAAAACTCTTAAAATTGGCTTTTTGCGGTACCTCCCGAACAAAAGTTACGTTTTTCATGCATTTTGCTATGAAAATATCACTTTTTGTTCCGGAGGTACCTCAAAAATCATTCATAAGAGCTTCTGTATAAATAGATTCCCAATATTTCTCGAAAAAAATAACTTTTCACTAAGAAACTCATCTAAAAAGTGTATTTTTGAGGTACCTCCCGAACAAAAATTGATATTTTCATAGAAAAATGCATGAAAAACGTAACTTTTGTTGGTGAGGTACCTTAAATAGCCACTTTCAAGAGTTTTTGGCTGAAAAGACTCCCCTTATTTTGGAGGAAAAATAACTTTGCGCCAAGATACCATCCCTGAAAAGCCTATATTTGGGGATTTTTCGGCCAAAAGTCGATTTTTTTTAGAATTGAAATCGAATATGAGGCTAGAAATATGTGAAAACATCACTAAATTTAGTCATGTAGGTACTTAAATTGTTCGTAAGGGATCACACTAGATGTTCGAAGGCAGTAGAGGTAGAAATCTCTTGCTTTTATCTGTCAAATCGAAGCTCATGTTTGTGATTTGCTAATTTTGACATGAAATTTTTCTTTTATATGTGAATCAATTGACACCGATTTCATCCAAATTGCAGTCTGACAAGTACCAAAATGTTTATACAGGTTCTGGCTACACGACACAAGTCAAAAACTGAACAAAAATCCACCGCCTGGGTGACCAGTAGAGCGAAAATAGCAAAAAATGCCGAAAATTTGCCATTTTTTTGGTCATTTTACACTGTAACTGGCCCAGAATGCCTTTTCAAGGCCTGATGTCTTAGTAAAAGTTATAGATATTGACGAGCCAAACAAAACCTCATCATCAGTTTTTGCCGGGAATTGGCTGGAAAAATGATTTAGGTCGAAATGTTACGATATGAATTGGCTCCCGAAATCGCTGTCATGAAAATTTTGATATAAAAACTGGCAGGGTATTTTATATGGTGACTATATGATTTTTTTGGACAAAACCTATTTTTTTGAGGTATATTTTTCGAATCCGGTCGGCACTTTTTTTTGTGGAAAACTTTTTTTTGGGCCACTCTAATGATGATCTAAACCAATTTTGCGAAAAAGGTTTTCGGGACCAATTCCTATACTTTCCCTTGACACGTTGTGTACGGAAAAGTAAAAATGTCATTGTAGTGCAATTTAGGGTAGTTATAATAGTATTGAGAAATTTTTGAAAGACTATTTTGTTTTGTTTAGAATATTTGGAATATCTTATACAATTCGTCGTTTAGAGTAATGTTATATAATTATGTTATTTTATATATTTATACACGTATTTATTTATTTATCTTTTTATGTTTAACTGACAATACCTGCTACAACATGAGGCTAAACTACCTAAAATCTAACATTGCCAAAAAGAAAAGCAATTATTTGCCTTAAACGTTTCTAACACTACCTACCTAAATTAATTAACTAACTAATTAACTAAAATAAAAATATTGTGTCCTATATTGTATTCACCTAAGACTGCCAGTACTTGGCAGTGAAATAAATTGAAATTGAAATTGAAAAAAAACCATGTGGTATGGCCACACGCATAGCCGCGGCCAGTCACATAGAGAGGGCGCACGCATTTGACGTAACTCGACTGAAGTTCACTTGTCAGTCGGGCCGCATCGAATATAAGCATAAGTATGACATTTGTAATCATTCGTATTTGAACCATTGAATAAACAACACATAATTGCCAATCACTCCTGAGTTCGCATTACAACCAGACGTGAATTTCTTTGAAAAGATGCCAGCGGATAAAAAAAAATGCGACCATGTACCCATGGTGTCGATTTACGTCGGACAATCGTTTTCTATATACAAATACATTTTGTACGATAGACGTCGATCGTTGACCGAATCAAACATAATGAAGTCAAATGTTGTTCAGTTTAATCATTTCATTGAAGACGATGGCGAAAATTAATCTTTTATCGACTTTTTTGCTTTTTTAAAATAAATTTTACGAAAAGGAATTTACAATTTTTTGTTTCATTGGTTCAAATTTAACATTTTTTCTTGGTTTTCATTAACATTTTCTTAACACTTTTAGGCGTTTTTTTTACATTTTAACAACATTTTTGGGCTATTTCGTTTAACATTTTTTGGAGGCTCTAGTAATGATGATGTTAAATGTTCATATTAAAACTTGAATATGCTTGAATATTCTAAATTCCAATTAAATGTAGTGAATTGGTCGGTTTTTTCAAGTTTTTTCAAAAATTAGTCTGTTTTACAAGTTTTTTTTATCTAGTTTAAAAGTCATTGAAAAGGCGGAATATTTAAATATTGCTTGATTTTTTTTTCAGGAAACACACGCATTTTAAAAACCCTCATTAACAATGGTGCTGACGTGAAAAATGAATCGATTGCACTTGTTTGGGCCGCTAAAAATGGTAACTTTCCATGTTTTTTTTTTACCGAAATATTTCATTACATGGTGAAGGTTGAAAAGGAATGGAATGAAAAAATCAATTCCATCCACGATCTCAAAGTTGTGTTTATGAATCTTCCAAAAAAATATGCTTGAACTTGAATTTGATTCGATCTGCTTTGAATTTCTTTGCAGGGCATTTGGACATCGTTAAACTATTGACTGAAAATGGAATGAATGTCACGGGCACTCCCGAAGCACTCAATTGGGCCGCTAAGAAAAATGGTTATTTTGTTAATTTAAACTTGAAAATGTTAATTAATTTTGTTGATTGAATCGTTCGGGTGGCGGTCATAACGTGTTTCCAATTAGAGAATGCTATCCGTCCGGGGCGTTATGATCGCCACTCAATCCTTCAAAATGATATTTTACCATCGCATTTTCAATTTTGTTAAATTTTGAACAAAAATGTTGACATTTCATTATCTTTTGTTTAGGAAATGTGAATGTTGTGAAATATCTTATTAAAAATGGTGCACCAGTTCAATACACAGACCGATATGGTTTTACTCCGCTTCATATGGCTGCTGAATGTGGTAAATATCATATGATCCATACAGACTAAAATAATAGACTTAAAAGTCTATTCTTTAGAAACAACCGTTTCATTTCATTTTCCTTATAATTCAGGTGATGTAAATATTATGAAATTTCTCGTTGAACATGGTGCTGAAATAGAGGTGTCAACGGACACGGACAAAAATTCGGACAATAGTGTCCGTCCGTCCAAAAACCGAAAAAAAAAATCGGACGTCCGGTCCGAATGTCCGAAAACCGAAATTTTTTTTCGGACGTCCAGTCCGAATGTCCGAAAACCAAAAAAAAATTTCGGACGTCCGGTCCGAATGTCCGAATTTTTTTTCGGACGGACGGACGGACAAGGGGTTTTGTCCGAACTTTTCAAATTTTTTCGGACGTCCGAAGTTTTTTCGGACGTCCGTAGAATTTCCGGACGTCCGAAAAAAATTCAAAGCCAAAAAAAATAATCGAGCCAAAAAAAATTCAAAAGAAAATATATTAGTTTGTATATTAGTTGGTTTACACTTTTTGGTAAACGTTTTTACGTTGGTTGTTGCACTTTGAAACTAAAATATTCTGAGGGAATTTGTTTGTCGCAACGGATCAATTGTGGGATTAGAAGGAAATCATTGGAGCCGGGAAAATTTTCTTTTGAATTATTTTTTGGCTCGAATATTTTTTTTGGCTTTGAATTTTTTTCGGACGTCCGAAGTTTTTTCGGACGTCCGGAAATTGTTCGGACGTCCGGAAATTTTACGGACGTCCGAAAAATCTTCGGACGTCCGAAAAAATTTGAAAAGTTCGGACAAACCCCCCGTCCGTCCGTCCGTCCGAAAAAAAAATTCGGACATTCGGACCGGACGTCCGAAAAAAAAATTCGGTTTTCGGACATTCGGACCGGACGTCCGAATTTTTTCAAAAAATGTTCGGACGGACGGACGGACAAAATTTTGTCCGTTGACACCTCTATGCTGAAATCGATGCAAAAGATCTTGGAAAGGGAACACCACTTCATTCTGAAGTTTTTTTCGGACAAACGGATGCCGTAAAATTTCTCATCGAACACGACGCTGATATTGATGCTGTAGAAGAGGATGATAATACACCACTGCATGTCGCGGTTCATACAGGTCTTATGAATGCTTTTTAGATATTGTTTCTAAATTCAAAACAACAAGTACAACTGAATTTATTGATTTTTCTGATCAGGTTACGTGGAAATCGTTAGATTATTAGTCGAAAATGGAGCTGATTTGGACATTGGAGATGATTTTGATCGGTGTCCGATTCATTGGGCAGCGAAAAAAGGTTGAAACTAATTTCACACAACACTATGGACTAATTCTGAAAACTCTGTAGCATTTGTATACTAAATTCAATCCACTGACGAATTAGGTCACACTTTAATTTATTAGCAAATACCGTTACTTTTGCTTACTTTTGAATTTTGCCATAGGAAAAGGTGAAGATTTTGCAAATGGAAAAAACGACGAACTGCAGTATTACAATATAACCAAAATACTCATCGACAACGGAGCCAATTTAAATGTTAGAGATTATGACATCATTTATGTTGATCAAGAAATGAGGTGTTAGTTATGTTCAAATGTTGATCCAACTAAAATAAACATGCAAAGCAATTTAATAGATTTAAGTGTCGACAATGTCTGTCTGAATTCACCTAATATTAAAGTTTAGATCTAACCAATTGGCTTTTTGATCAAAATTGTTCACCAATGCGAATGGAACCTTATTGCACTTCCACATCTCTTCGCTGTTTTTGGTATCAAAACCATCGAATCAAGTTACCTCAAATTAAATCAATCAAGTAACCTGATATAGCCAAGCACATTTAGCATATGTACGTGCGCATATAGTTCTAATACTGACTCAGAAGACGGTTGAGTCTTTATATTTTCCCGGCCATGGCCTATGGCAACGATTCGTCGCTATTCTCTTGGCGGATGATAGTGAGAGGAACGACAGCAACGGGAACTTTTAGTTTCACCTCGAAATCATTGCAGAACAATATGTTCGATAATCGATGCACATGGCTAGCGTCTAGACTACCTAAATTTGGATTAGATTTTGTTTATTCAATTGTTTGCGATAGATGCATGCAAAATGTTTTCCATCTAGAAAGAACTGTCTATCCAACTGCGTCATTTGAAAGAAAGCAAACGAGCAATTATTTTTAGCGACCGTCCTGAGGAAGTATTTCGCTCAAAATATATAAACACCTTCCATTCGGCAAAGTCGAAAATGAGTGTACAAACATACGGCCAATTGCAGTCTATATACGTGAAAAAGGTAAACATATCTATGGGTGAGATTGAGAGTGGAGTATGTTTTTTCTTCGATTTATATTTTTGAAAAGGCGAGTATGTTTTCTGATGATTCCGTTGGCGTTAAAGTAGAGTATGTTGTAGTACCGTCTAGCCTCCGCGGTCTTCATGGTTTTCACGCAACTGATAAAAGATAACAACATGGTGTCTTCGTCAAAGTTGTAGTACTTGAGGTCTTCTATAACTAAGCTGAAGACAGTTATCTCTTATCTCTTATCAGTTGCGCGCAAATCGCGCACATAAAAAAGCAAATTTTATATAGAACTTTTTTTTTCTTATCATTTTTCGCGCTTTTCGCGGAACTGATAAGAGATAAGAGATAACTGTTTTCAGCGATGTTATAGAAGACCTCGAGTGCTACAACTTTGCCGAAGACACCAAGTTGTTATCTCTTATCAGTTCCGCGGGAACCGTGGAAAACCGCGAGGACCCGCTAAAAACGAACATACTCGCTTTTAACCATTTTTAAGTCGACAGAAACTTGCTCTTCTCTTTCGTAACAAAGTCAATCAAACATACACTACTCTCAATCTCACCCATAGATATTTTCGATCCGAAGATGATTTGTTCGAAACCAACTGAGTAAATAGAATGGAGACATCCGACCGTCTTTACGATTTGGATGTTATTATTATATCATAA